GGGGAGCTGCTGGCACAGCGGCTGCAGCGCGGTTGGAATCTTGCCTTCCAAAGTACACAGGAAAAAGGCAAAGAAAGATCACATAAATCACTGCTGTTGGGGGGAACAGCTCCCTGAATTGGGTCTTGACAGCACAGCTGCTTTTCTTTAGTCTGTGGGGCAGTAGTGGTGATAAGAGACTAATAGAGACGGATGAAAATAATTAAGTGGTGTGAAAGAAAGGGGATGAGATGAAATGAAAATGAAATGAAATAGGAAATGAAGAGGAATGGCAGGTGGGAGGAAGAAATTGCATATTCCCCTGAGCAATATTTTAGGTTATGGGCAGTTTGCTTCAAATCTAGGTAGGCCTCTAGCCCTCGGTTCTAACTGAATCAAGGACAGCTGTCTGACAAAGAAAGCAGATGAGAAATAATGGGAAGCAGGTCAGTAACCTGATGATCAAACATGTATATTGTTTCTGGTCATACATATTTCACCATATTGCCGCGTGGTGGGAAAACAAAAATAACCTGACAACGAGTGTTGGATGAAAAAATGTCATACCCAGGCCTGTCACGTGGGACAGACCTCTGTATACTTCTGAGCTTCACTCGGGAATTAGAGATACTTGTCAAGTAACAGCCAAAGGTTTTATCAAGGATCTCCCAAGTGAGCCCACAGATGAATATTTGTCGAAAATAAAGTGATTTTTTTTCCCCATGACTTAGTTACCCTGTGTCGTATCCTCTTCCCTGGCAGTGGTGCTCACATTTTTCAGCTGAGAACAAGTTATTTGTGCTTCTTGTTGGCTGGTTCAAGCACTTTCTGGTGTGAGGGAATGGGTGCTTTCTCTGCTCAAAGTCAACCTTTGCATGAAAATCATTCTATCAGATGGGCATCTCTGAGAAATCGTGACCTCCAAAAAAAAGACTGTTGGCTACACTTGTTTCTCAGCCCACGAGGGTTAAGCACAGTGATTCTGTGCCTTTTTCCATCTCTGCTCTGATCGAAAAGGCTCAAAGCAGCTTCTACTAGGGAGTCATGAAACCAGTTAGGGCAGAACTGTTTCACTCTGTCCCTGTGAGAGCAGAAGATGTTGGAGTAGCTCTAGTGGTCTTCCATGCATCTGTGGTTTGAAAACCCCAGCTGAAGGGAGGTGAACAAGCTCTGAGCAGTTGGATCTTGCAGGCCACACTTGACTGCAGGCACCTTAATTCTGCTCTCCATGACCTGAGCTAAAAGCCAGAGTCTGCTGTCATTGAAATTTCACTAATGTGAACCGTAGATGAAGCATCTGCAATGATGACTTAAAATCCAGGAGTCCTGAGTTCTACTGCTGGCTCTGTATTTTGGCATAGCCTTGGGCAGGTCTCAAGCCTTATGAGTCTCGGTTTCCTACCTGCAAAGCAGAGGATTCAGTTTCTTTTCCTCACAGCAGCATAGTTTTATAAAGTATAAATATTTGTGACGTTAAGCGTTTTGACTGTGTGAGCATTTGAGAGAAGAAACCATAAACATGTGTCAGGCCTATGATCTGAATTCAAACCGGTGAACTAGAAAAAGTGTTGACAGCCTTAAACCAGCTGCCCTGTACACACATCTCCTTCTGTCTACCTGAAAGATTATTTGTGGAATGTGTTTCTATTTTTCTCTGACAAAAAAATAGAATACCAAGCAAAGAAGCATGACCCATTTCTTTGTCAGGCAAGCTCTAAACCCTGCTTACTGGGATGTGACTGAGCTATTGATAAAAGAGAAGCTCATTTTAGGCCACAATATTCATCCTGCCGCTGAAGAAGAAACAAAGACTGCCGCCTTCAGATGAAATGGATGTGCTTTCCAAGCCAAGGTATGTTTATCTCCTCCACAACTTCTTTATGATCTGTAATTATATTTGGACCATACAGTGAAACAGAGAAGTGGCTAATGAGGGGAGTTAGGAACGTAACTAATAATTTTATAATAGGAAAATATACGAGCAATACACCAATGAAAGTATCTGCAAACTCTGTTAATCGTCAAGCAATAGGTCTGATTAGAGCATCACTCATCATAAACTGTATCACCCTCAGTAATTTCTCACGGCCCTTCTCCTGTGTAACGCCAAGTTTGGGTGCCCATCATGCTGCTCATAATTGTTGGCCATAGGAGCGGACTTTCTCCATGGATCTTGTTCTTCAAACATAGCATGTAGCATATTCAAAGCAATATCAAGTCATACCACACTGAGCTCTTTATTACCAAAGACTTTTAGAGAGAAGCACATAAACTAGATTTTCTGAATCAATAGGCAGATGGTAGCTACTTTTTTTTTTTCAATATTTTTTCCAACTTGTACGTTTTAGATTTACATAACTTGGTTTCACACATCTGAAGAAGAAACACTGACATAAATCTATGTTTATCTTCAATGCATTTACAAATAATTTTCTTTTTTCCCTGACATATCTCTGTCTAGACTTCTGCTAGAAAACAGGAACTTTAACTTTCTCTTCTGTTGATGTAAATACCTTTTAACATTGTGCAGAGAATGGCATGACTCTCATGAGGGTGTGGGACCCTTTCACTCCACCACTGAAATGCACTGAGTTTCCACTGGCCAAAGTGAGCAGCTCTAACATCTTCCCGCTACACACTATGTTACTGTGCATATCACTGAAATACATGATCATTGTGACTCCAGGCTGGTTGAATTTTTTTATTATTGTTTTCAATTTGGTTCACTGAAACAATGAAAGTTAGCTGTATCCAGCTCTTAATCTGACTTCATGTTTTATTAGTAATTATTTTTGCAAAGGCCCTAATTCTCCTCTAAAACATTTTAATTAAAACAGCAATTTCTCAGTGCCGCACTTCATGAGCAGATTTTGCAGCAACTTCAAAGAGACGCAGATGTTTACTGAATTTGGTGTGGTGATATTTGAGGCTGCCTACTGGCAAAGAAAAATTCATAAACATCTCTAAGAAACTTTGCTGTGGTAATGACAACATTTCCTTCTCAGATTTTAGCAAGTCTAATATTTCCCGATCTCAATAGGCATATTTCACAGACACAGGCATAAGCACTGTTACCTACTCACAGCCTAAGCCATGTCAGATACACCGCTATGGAGTAAATACTTCTCAGTGGTGATACCTCTGACAAGAAACCATGGGTTTGTGGTGTGTGGGTCATTTTTCAGAGTATCAGTAGACTGGGAATAAAGAAACTGAAGTTTAATTTCCACTCGATTTTCCATAGCCCTTCAATGTAATGTTGAATGGCCATTTAGCTTTGTGTGCCTCAGTTCCCACTGGTAAAGGGATGATAACATATCCTGGCTTTTAATCAGCTTATATCCTGGTGGAAGGGTCTATCTCCTCATGCACCAAGGGCTTCCTAGCTTTAGAGGCTCCTTGAGTTTTAGTTTGTTTTAGCGCTGTTCTAGTAAAATTATGAAAAGCTAAAGATTTATTTTGGAGGAGTTTCTCCTTACTTGTGGCAGGTGAGCCTGGTCTGATGATCTCATTTTGGGACCACAGCTATCTGTGGGTAACCAGGCAGGCAGTGGTCCTCTCTGAATTGAGATGATGGGACTAGGGACTAGGGACACATGGCATGGCAGACTATATCTAAAACATAGATGAGGGTCCAGGTATCTTCTATGGTTTAGACAGGTGCCTGTGGCCAGAAAATCCATGGCCTGTCCAGCTGGGCCACCAGTGAGGCTGGTGTCCATGTGCTAGGACCAACAACTGGTGGTGAGGATGCTCCTATTTAGTCTTCCTGTGCACATAAGAAAAACAAGTTTCTTCCTGGGACACTTTTCACTCTCATATTTTTTTGAAGGGGAAACAACAGAAGTACTGGGAAACAGCATATCCATTTCCACTGCGAGCATCAGGCAAGGACCAGCAAGGAAAGCCGGCATGGCGTATGGCGTGACACGTCAGGTAGCTGCTTTAACACACAGTGTAATTACAGTGACAAATTTCTGCCTCTTGAAGCATCAGGGATTGAAGTGGTTGCCCTGAAGGAGAAAGAAAGTGGGAGAACTTTGACCAACTCTAGGCCGGGAAGCGCAGCACTTCCTCTGCATTGGATTAAAAGTGATCAGCGTGGCCAAAGGGGTCCTGTGAGAGACAGGTAAGCAGGCTGAAAGGAAATTGGAAATACTAATGAAATGAAGATGGACTGGATAGAACAAGTTTTACAGTTCCCCATTCCTCTTTGATTTGGTAGCATTAGGCGTACTGAAGGGTAGATTGCGCAGTCTTATGCGTGACAGCAAGATACTTTTCCACATGAATAAACCCCCTGAAATTAATTGGACTGCTCACAAAACTGCCTGGGAATGTGAACTAGGCTTGCGCATTTCAGCCCTCAGATATGATCTTTCTTCAACAATGCAAGGGCCAGGCTGCATGGTGAACAGCAACAGCTTAGCTAGCAATGTGAGTTCAAACCGCTCGCAGTGAGTAGATTAATGTCTCTGTGGATGCATCCTTGCTGAAGAGCATCTCATCTCAGCTGAATTCACCTTAGTAAGAAATAGATTAAAATTAAACTGAAAGAAACTATTCCTGAAACGAAAGAGGGGCTCAGACAGAGTTTGCTTATCACAAACTGTTGTGCGTTTGCTGTGCCATGGAATTGCCCACGTCTATGCTTTTAGCTGGTGGCTACTGTTCCCAAGGAGAATTAGCCTGGCCTGTGATGAGGGAAGCTTAAATTTAGGTTGCTCTCTCACGTGTGCTGTGGGATAAGAGGACACAGCCAGGCAGTCCCTTGCGTGTGGGTGTGCCTGAGCATTCGAGGTGCCCACGGAGGCGTTCGCTTAAGCTGAAATGCTTGTTCACCAATTGCAAATGGCCTCGTAAAAAACCAAACCGCATGTAAAAGCCCTCTCGCATGTTGGTCTGCAAAGAAATAGCTTTGTTGTTGTTTCAAAGAATTAGTGAGCCAACAACGCAAAGCTTTGGAGTTGGTTACTGGGTTTTTACTGTAGTCTCTATGAGCTATACAAAGTCTGAAGACATTGTACGTACAGTACATCTTTAATAAGAAGGGAGCTCACAGTCTACCAAACTCTGCCAAATAAAGTTTTAATACATACTGTACTTCACTCAGTAGTTGTCCGTCTCTTCGTCATGGAATATCTAACAGCTCTAAAAATATTTTCTTGGAAGAGGATAGAACTATCATTGTTATATATCAATCAAGTATGGTTAATGAAGCAAAGCCAGCATGCTAGTATTGCACAAGGGGAAAAGCCTCCAGAACACAAAGTGCAACAACAAATGCCCTCGAAATTCTGCCAAAGGGAACAGGAAGCTCTGGATGCTGCATCGGTAGGATTCATGTAGCTCTTAGGCGTCCTTGTACCGCAGCAGGTTTGCTTTGCCTCTTCACCGCCACGTTTCTCTCTGAAACAGGTAAGGATCTTCCAGACCATTACAAAAAAGAAAAAAAAAAATTACAGCAGCTGCAGCAAAGTGTGGTACTATTCAATTTCTTGAAGAGTGAGGCTTTTATTTCAAAATATCATATATTAATATATATATATTTCTATATATATACTTTAACTGGTATAAAGTAAATTGTAGATCCAAACTTCTACTGTTGTTTGTACTTTGCAATCTTGGAAACTTTACCAAAGGAATCGTTTTCTTCATTTTTATTTTCAGCTGTCAAAAATCAGGGGCATTATTTCCACTGAATACTTTCTTTCACACAGTAAAGCCACTGTTGTTATCTGGTAAACAGTCAAAGTGCAAATAAGAAATCCATTTGGCTTGTGAATGCTGAGATGGTTTTAAACTTTCAATACTTTGTCCTCATAAATCAGCAGGGCTTTCACTGTCTCCATGCAGACGATGCTCTGTTAGGTCCTCGGATGGATCTGCAGTAAGAAAGTGAGAAAGAGTCAGTTGTTAGGTGAAATACGTTGTGAGAGGGAAGACAGACCCAGGCTTGGTGGCACTTTGCCCTGCTCATGATATAGCTGAGTTTAAATCGCAATATTTGGAGGGAGGGAGCATGTCTTTTCTCTTGGGGCTACAGGGATTTAAGGATGTGCAAGGGGCAGACCCTGAGTGAGCTCCTGCCCGTGCCTTGGGAGATCCTGGATGCGCATCGATCACCTGGGCTGGTGGTGCAGGAGGTGCCAGGACAGCGTTGGGCATGGGGCCACGCTCACCCCAGCCGACCACCCTCCCCTTCTCAGAGTGATGCTAGTAGCTTCTGCTAGACAAGGACATGCAGGTGGATCCATCTTTCAGGTCCATTCGGACGCCCACCAAGCCACTCACCCGAAGAAGGGCAGGACAGGAGTGACTAGCTGTGTAATAGACTGGGCAGTCTGACCGACTTCACCTACTCACCCCGAGTGAGATATCACAGCCTGCAACGGACTGTAAAACCATCGCTCCTTATGACTAACACCACAATTGTTCTGAGTGAGCGTGCTAATGGCTTGAAGAGGAAACACCACCGCCCAGAGGTTTTTTTAGGATGCTGAAAGAAGAATGACTGACCAGCAGCAAAAATAGCTCTCTCGAGGAGAGGATTTTGTTTCTTTCCCACACTGATACACACAGATGAATGGCACAATGGGTCCAACCCTTTGCTAGATGACTAGGTCAGCAATGAAACTCAAGTTGACTTGAATACGAGCAGGCTGAGGCATTAAATCAGGGCTATAAGTTATTAGCTAAGCACTAGGTGTTACGATGAAATGCAGCAGTAAGTCTTATAGCAAGAGATATTTACTATCTTGTGCTCTACTGCTTTGAACTGACCTCTTAATTGCAGAGACTGTTATCACAAAACTAGAGGGGTTTCTTCACTGCTTTAAAGAAAAACTTAATCTGGAAATCATCTGATGTATTAAGCTAGTTAGATAGCTAAAAAAAGAAAATAAAACTCTGGGTTCATTTACCATTTCCTTCCCTCCCCCAGTTCCCATTTTCTGCTCTCCTGGTTTGCCACTGACAAATGACCCTGCTGGGTTTTCTCTCTCGGGGATGAATACATCCCTTTCTTTCTCATTTGTACACTGCCTCAAGAATTTGCGTGGTGAATTGGTGTAGGTGCAGGAAATGACAAGGGACCACGGTGCCAAGGGGCTGTGGGCACCTCGGGTGCTATTTGCTGCAGCTGGGATGAGCAGTGGCTCTTAAGAAATGTGACGCTCAGGTCCCTGGGGCACCGTAAAATGACCTGCGGGTCTCTGACAGCAAAATATATGGTAAACCAAGTGTTACTCTGGAAACCGAGGGGTGGGAGGGCTGTAATGGAGGGAGCAGGCTGTGAAGCTGGAGAGATGCTCCAAGCTGAGCTGCTCTGCCAGGCCCCAAGTGCTCAATGCTGTAATTTCCATCCTCAACAGCATCAGCAGAAAAGCAGCTTGTTGAAGTATTTAGAAGGCTAGTACATGAATGCCAGGTGTTATTAGTGTGGATTATGTAATGTCTCGTTTTTGGCTGGGATAGAGTTAATTTTCTTCCAAGTAGCTGATATAGTGCTGTGTTCTGGATTTAGTACGAGAATAATGTTGATAACACACTGATGTTTTAGTTGTTGCTAACATGACAGATGTTGCTAACTGTTAACAGATATAAAATCCTTAACACGCTCTGGTTATTCTGTCGTTATCTCAAACCCTTCGAGCCCCACACTGGGCGCCAAAAAGGACTGTCGTGGTTTAACCCCAGCCAGCAACTGAGCACCACGCAGCCGCTTGCTCACTCCCCACCCTTGGTGGGATGGGGGAGAGAATCAGAAGAGTAGAAGCAAAAAAACCTCATGAGTTGAGCTAAGAACAGTTTAATAATTTAATAACAACAACAACAACAACAACAACAACAACAACAACAACTACAAACCCAGTGATGCACAATGCAATTGCTCCCCACCAGCCGACCGATACCCAGCCAGTCCCTGAGCAGCCACCCCCCCGCCAGCTTTCCCCTAGTTTATACACTGAGCGTGACATCGTACGGTATGGAATATCCCTTTGGCCAACTTGGGTCGGCTGCCCTAGCTGTGCCCCCACCCAGCTTCTTGTGCACGTCCAGCCTTCTCAGTCGGTAGAGCATGAGAAGCTGAAAAGTCCTTGACTTCGTGTAAGCATTACTTAGCAGCACGCAAAACCTCAGTGCGTTATCAACACTATTCTCGTACGAAATCCAAAACACAGCACTATACTAGCTACTGGGAAGAAAAGTAACTCTCTCCCAGCTGAAACCAGGCCCATAAAAAGGGCATTTTGCAGTGCAGTGTGCGCATGAGCCTGGGCAGAAAGCCCTGGGGAAGAGCACTGCGCTCCTCAAGGGCCCTGCCAAGTGATGCACGGAGTTGTGTGTAGACACCAATCCAATGTGAAGAGCTTGTGAGTGACTCCCTCGCTCAGATGGGAAGTGAAAAAACATGGGATGCATGAAAAGCCATGTTTTCATGTTTTTCAGCAGCTCTGGTTCTCACGGGCATTTATGTGCCCTTGTGGGCACCATCTCCCAGCACCCAGACCAAGACCATGTTCTTGCATTTCCCCTGGTGCCGGTTACTCCGCTGAAATGTAGTGATGTGATCTCTGGCCAGATCCTAGTACAGCTGCAAGAGCCCCACATTTTTAAGGAAAGCATTGAAACTTATTTTCTTAAAAAAAAAAAAAAGAAAAAAAAAGGGGTGAATAGGGAGTTTAAAAAGCGTTGAAACTGCTCCAAAAATTGAATTACAAAATTATTTCTTTCCAGTGTTTGTCACCTGCTCTGACCATCAATAGAAAACAGATCGATTTACAGAGGCTGTGAGCTTTATATCTTCGGCTTTAACAACTTAATTAGTGAGCTATGCTAACGGACTAAACACAGGAATAAATGCGTGAAAAGGAAGGAATGGAGGATGTGCGTGCAAAGCCTTTACTGGATTTGTTGTCCACCTTCTTCTGACACTAATCAGTATTAATCACACCTGAGAACCAACCATGAAGTAATATACTACAATGTAAAATTACGCATGTTGTGTATACACATGCATATATTTATATGTGTACACCCATGCTTATATGTGATTTACTGTGGGCCTTGAAGAATGTACTAATAGTATTTCAATCCTGCGAATCATAAATGCGAATGTTTTCCTTGGACAGCAGCTGCCTGACATGAACGCATTAGTGTAAGGACAAGCCTTCATCGAGACAGTTTACAGTTTACAGCCTATGGTGACTTGCTCCAGCTTTTTGGCTGAGCACCACAGATATATCTGGGATGCTGACTGATTTGTCTTGTTTCTTCTGCTTTCTTAACTTCCTTAACTACATAAATTAGATACACATGGCCCAATCTTGCAGCCTGGACTGGGGTCAGTACAGATTATAGTGTAATCTCTTTCTCTGATGCCATCTGAAATGACAAAACAAAGAAAAAAAAATGCCTGTTTCAGGATCTGATTGCTTCTATTATTTTATATTTATGTTGCTAGACTTGACGCAGCAGTAGGGACTTGAGCAAAGTTTCAGGGATTATGAAGTAGAATTTTTGCTTAGAAAATGCAACAGACATTTGGTAAGCACATCATGTCATGTTGCCTTTGTCAATTGGGTTCTGTAATGATATTTTAAAGCAACACAGCAAAATTCTACTGGAAGCAGCACCATAAGGTACTCCCCTCACAAGCTAATTAAAACAACTCCTGTGGGTAAATGAAGAAGTATTTTTTCAGTTATGAGCACTCACTCTGTAAGTATTTAATTTAAATGAAATACAATAATGCATACTGAATAGATTGGACCACACATCTGCATATTAATGAAGCTGCTAAATTTCTAGCAATCATTTCTAGATGCAGGCTATCGCCTAAAATTAGTTTATATGATGAAGGTTGGGGGAGTTAAGAGCAGGACAATTTCACAGAAAAAAGCAAATGCAGTTCCTAAATTGTATAATTTGCAGACAAACTGCAGAAGTACTGAATTACTGTAATTTAACAAAAGTATAACATACTTCTTCATGTTGCTTATTACTTCTTTAATATCACTTTCTTCCATTTTAATTCCCCAAATCAGTGAGAAAAATGTTGCCTCACTGAAAAGGACATGTAGTAAGTTTGTTTGGTTTTTTTTTTTTAATTGCACTGCAAGGCAGATACATTAGGGCACAATCTTCCAGTGGTGTTTCAATGTGGAGAGATCAGTTGTGAGCACAGAGTGGTTTGCAGCAACAATGACACTGCAGGAAGAAATTGAGTCAAGGAATCACAGTTCCTTCCATGCTTTCTCCTTTGCTTTGGGAGATGTCAAGGAGATAATATGCCTCCTGTTTTCAGGGAAGGCACTTACTGCCTTCTGCAAAGAAAACCTCCTAAATTAGTGTGTATCCTAGTAATTTAATGTGGTGGTGAGATGAGCCATGCCGGAAGACACTGTTCAAGAAACTAGGGTTGCAATACAAATCATCCATCCTGGGGTAAATCATATAGAGGGAACGAAAAGAATCCAGATGGCATGAGGATCAGCTGGGGTAAAATCTCCTCCTTCAATAAAAGGCCTAGAAGACATGACAAATGACTAGACTTAGCACTGTAGAAAAAGGAAGAAGTCAGGAAATCGTGACACTAAGCTTCACCTTCCTGTGAATTAGTAGCTGGGTATGAGTTTGTAGAACTGCTTAATAAACAGGGAAAAATGTCTTGAAAATTTGCTTTTTTTTCATTTGGCAAGTTTCGAAAGTTATTTTTCACTTCACTGAAAAACAAAATTTATTCATTTATCAAAATATTTTGAGTTGACAACCATGTAATTTTCTTGGAAAAGAATTCAATGGTGGTAATTTTAATGAAATTTTAATTTAATTAAAATTGTTGAATACAGCTAGAGGTGGTAGTTTCAGGAAAATGGTTGTGATATAATTGAACAATGCAAATGAAAAGCTAGAATCTATTTTTGAAAAACGCTTCTTTCTTCCAAAGTAATCTCAGTGGGAGAAGTTTATCCAGCTCATTCACACTCTCTCTCTTTGCAGCCATACCTCTACATCTTCCGAGCAACGCATGGTGAAAGTTGTTGTCACCTGCTGGCCTGCGTTACCTGAATCTTCAGCATCTCAAATGTATGTCACTAACGGGTGCGTGGGGATAGAGCTGCTTCTGAGCTAAGACCTCAAATGCAGATAACGAGCTGAGTCCTCAGCACCGTTTCATGCTACAAAGCACCTGTACAGCTGTTAATACAGATGTGGCCTGGAACAGCCAAGAAATGGATGTAGGATTCAGCAGTTCCCCTTGATACTTCCCTCTAGCCACCAGAAAGGGACTCAGTGATGTGCACTAAGTTTTGTTTCTGAGGTGACAATGTCTGTAAGAAGGTGACTTGGCGATTCAACAGCTCCAGTCTGCTGGTTATCAAGCCTGGACCCAGCTGACCAGCCTGAATCCATCTGAATTTTCACTAAATTATGGCCAGAAGTGTTGGGTGGCTGGGAGCTATGCAGTGATCTTTAAGACTTTTACAGCAGACATGATGATGGAACAGATATGGGTGAGCAATCATGAGTGACTCCCTTTCCTATTAAGACTTCCTGGGTATAGACAGAAAGACGACTTACTCTGGTGGTCTTGATTTTATTGCCAGTCGCACACATCCATCCAGAATTATCAGGCAATGTCTTACATTCCTCTCCTTCTAGGCAGGGCTCCATCTCACACCACCATTTGCCAATCACTATTGAAGCTAAAAGAGAAAAGACAATGTTCACAACTATGTTATAATGAAAAATCTAATTAAATAGTATCTCAAGGGTCTAACACTGCATTGAAGAGGCAGAGTGCCCCTTCCAAACCCTTCAGTTGAAATTTAGTTGCAAGGATTTCACATTTAATTACCTGTTTTGCATCCTGCATTCTCTAAGACAGTGCACTGCTTGCCATAGCTTCCTTACACGCAAGAGTTAGTCTACTATCATGCTGTGACTGTGGGGAATGCTGTGACGGCAGCAATACTGCTTCAGGCCAAAGGACCAGCCACCCTAAAAGCCCATCTTTGTCAGTGGCCAATCTGATCTTTATGGACATTTATAAGAACAAGGCAAGTCGAAAGAGATTTTCCTCAGAATATTCTCCAGGTCTTCAGGACTTGTGGCTCAGTGTACTCTAGAATAAATGGTGTTTGCTTTGCTTTCAATACCTACAGCTGGCTTTTTCTTCTACAAATCTGTGCAGAAGTTTTTGAACCCATGTAGACTTTTAGCTTTCATAGTATCCCATGGCAGGGAGTGTCAGAAACAGAAGGGAAGGTAATACTGAAGAGTTGCAGAAGTTCAGTTTGTTGAAACGTGATTCTGGATTTTATAGAAACCATATTATCTCTAGCAGTAACTTTAAATTTCCAAGTATTTAGCATTATAAATAATGGCAGTGTTTGGATCTTGTTTGACGTTAATTGGCACATATGTTTATAACCTTGAGTGTACCTTAATGAAGTTTCTTGCCTGGGAATTGGTATCTGTGTATAGCCTTAACTGTATCTTAATGGCATTTTTTGTCTGGGGATTTTGATAAAGTTTAGCTAACCTTGGGAACTGTGCCTCGTTGGTGCGTGAGTGGCTCTGCCTGTGGTTTGTTTTCCCTGGCAAGAATTAATTTCATGGTTGCACTCTGTCAAAGTGTGCACTCACGCAAATAGAGATGCTTAACCCATGCATAGCAGCCCACATAGCTGCTTCAAGCCCATAAAATACCTTTGAAGCAGCAGACTACCTTGTATCACACCACTCAGCTCTGGAAAATGCCCTGTTGTGCATGCATTGATTTAAGGACATTTCAGAGTTTATAACTGAAGTCTTGATTTATTTTTTATCTCGTTGTAATCTGTTTATGCTCACAAAATCCTGAGGAAACACCCAAAGTTGTATCTGCAGCTGCTACTAATGTCCATCACCTTAATTCACAGATACACAGATGAAGCTGTGAGTCCCTTTCTCTTTAATCTCTAACATATGACCAACTCACTGAAAAAAAAATGCACCAAACCAACAGATACTCCTAGGCTAGAAAGTGTGCATCACTATTCCATTTCATCATGAAAGAGGAGGCTCTGCATGGCACAGAGAGCAAGAGACTGTAGGAGAGACTCAGCAAGGGACAAAAGAGGGACTCTGGCATTTTCAGTAAGGCTTGAACTGCATTCTTGTTGTTGGGTCAGGAGAGGTGGGCACTAGGTGACCACAGCTTCAAAGTTATGCATCATCAGCATTACCTACACAGAATTATACCCATCACACTATCTTACCAGACCTGCTGTTAGCCCACCTAAGCAGCTGACTTTATTGCTCCAATCCTAATTTACTAGGAAAGGCTCCCCTTTTGATCTAGCTCTGAAAGGAAAACTACCTTTTCATAGGACTGTTCCAATTTAGCATTTTGTTTTCCAGTGCGGTCCATGAAAAATGAACCACTGCCAACACGGTCAACCCTCAGCCACTTTGAGCTCTTCTGGCAGCCTCACGTAGTTCCCTCTTCTCCTTAATGCTCCACTGACTTTCTGATCCAGCTTCCTTTGCTGTAGACTAACAAACAGCACACACGGAGATGCAAGCATGCACGTGTATAATACTATAAATGTATGTTTACAAATGGACTTAGGTACACATGCTTATGCCCAAACTAAGCCAAATACTATATTCTTTAGGTAGGAATGTACCAGAGAGAAATAATTTAGATGATTGTTTAAATGAACACAAAGGTATGTCATGTGCCCAGAAAGGAAGATGTTTTTTTGCATAAAGCTGGTAGTAAATTCTGGGAAATAAAAATGGTAAATATAGGGTGATAAATCCTGTAAAGAAGGTAAAGTATTGGAAAGGTAAGATCTTTTTTTCCTCAGATAAGCTGGACAAACCAGCCTCTGCCACGTGTTGATGTACATGGTTGATCTGAATGTCATATGGTCCAGGTATTTGATGGGCCATGCTGGATTGCACCCAAGGATAGCCCATTTTAGTGCAAAATAAACCTGAATGAGAAGCAATATTTCTGGGTTAGCTAATTAACTCTAATGGGAAGCTACTACAATTCGGGAGTCCAAGTTAGTACCTCTAAAAAGGCCTTCACTTGGTATGTGATTATACCAGCAGACTTGCTGAATAACTGTCCCAACAGGAATATGGTTTTCACCCAGTGAGTTTACTTGAAACATAGGGAGAAACACCTTGGGTTTGGAAGCTCCTTTGATCTGGAAGATGAGTTGAGCAAGTTGGAGTGAGTGAGCTAAGCTTAGAATAAAATAGAACTGAATAGTTCAGTTGGAAGGGCCCTACAATGATCATCTAGCTCTCTGTGTTGTCTTTCCTATTTCTTCTTACAGCTTATACCTCATTTTTATCATGTAATATATCATTTCTCCATATGTACAACACACAAAAAACCCTTTACACCTGCGCTTGCAAGGCAGTTTAATGATGCTATTCACACATCACTTCTAGAAGGTTATCATTAATGCTGCTAACAGTGGAGAAAAGAGATATCTCACTTTGCTATGCATGAAAAAGCACACAAGGGATGAATCTGCACTCTAATAATAGACTGTGCAGTGGGCAAACTGAAAAAACATATCCTGCTAAATACTGGCCTTCATAGCAATCATCAGAGCAGAGCATCCTCAGAATACGTGAGGAGAATCCTATGATATGGAATCAAAAGTGATGACCATAATTATTTACCAGTAGCAGTGCTGTAGTATTAGATAACCATAGAGAAGCATCCTATGGTGCTAGGTACTAAAACCACAAAACTGAACATCCTGGCCAAGGGAGTTTACAATGTAAAACAGAGGTATGAGATGAATACAGATTGAGAGGGAGCATGTAGAAGCAATGCTGTTCATAGCAATTAAAATGATCTATCTACTTATTGATGCTGTTAAATACAGCCCAAGTATTCAGATATTCACCTTGAAAAATTAATCAAATGCAAAGTCAGTGCTGAACCTTAATGTCAACTGATTCATGTAATAGTGTGCAGGTTTTAGTGTGTGTATTTACACACACACACATATATATACACATATCTAACAAAAATTTGTGATCGAAGTGCAGTTACAATGCCCACCCAAGGGTCCACCAGTGAGCACCCTCACCTGTCGCTACCCATAGCTGGGCTGGAGACAAGGAGACAGGGTTCCTTTTATAAAGGGGGGAAGCTCAGGCCATTTGCAGATGAAAAGCTCCTGTTAGTCTCTAATATATAAGTAAGTGGGCAAAATCCTTTGTAAGCCAAGCACTACAAAGCTCGCTGTGTTCTGGTCCTCAGCACCATGCTGTGGCAGGGACGTCCAGCGCCCGATGAAAATAATTTCCTTTGAGTCTTGTGCTTATAGGTTTTCTCTTCTATTAAGAGGCTTTTAATCTTTAGGACACCGTTGTCCTTCTTGGGCACTGCTGATCCTTTGAGGTTGACTTGATTTCAAAGTTTTACACCTCCAGCTCGGTTCAAAGAGGCAGGAAAAGGCTTTAAAATGAACCACAGTTTGCTGTGTTTGGGATTAGATACACCTGTACGGGGAGGGGAGGGGGGAAGCTTCCCTGGGGAATACAATCCAACTTCTCTATGTTTCGGTTGTGTCGCTCTGAGATGTGCTGACGCGGTTGTGTGAGAGAGAGAATTGTTCAGGTTAAGATGCTTTCCCTCAGGGCAGTTTGTATTCAAGATCCCCGAGATCCTGAGGAACCCAAGCTTCTCGGTGACCCGAACGGCTAATTCTGGATGAGAATTACAGACCCCCGTTAGTCATCAGGCGTCACAGGCTGTGAGTGCTCACATCATGCTGAATTAGATGCCTGTAACGTTTTGGAGTGGTTCTCATTGTGTTCTTCTCCCTGTCTGAGGAATACACGCGGCATGGAGTTTTTTTCATGCAAGGCTGATTTGGCTGAGACAGATACCCTCAGCCACAGGGAAAGAAAAAGGACATGATTTAAAAGAGGCTTGACTACTCTTGCTTTGTTTGTATTTTGTTATGGGTTTTTTTGTTCCCCAGCTCCTGCTAGTGGAAATAAGGAATTGCTTGTATCTGAGTTCTTTTCAAGAAAATGCCTCTTCTATAAGAATTTTAAACTCTAAGCATGTAACTAATGGAGCTGGGAGAAAAGCAACTTTCTTCAAAAAATTATTGAGATATTTTTCCCAGTCTGAGTCACACTGCATTTTTTTTAGCTTTGTTTGCAAACCAATAGAAAATTTTTAATCAAAATATTTAACTTTTGATGTATTTAGTCTGCATGAATTAACAGATGAAAAAGCATTTGGTTGAAATGGCATTTTCTAATCATGTGTAGCAAACAGAGAAAGAAACTACGGATAAGAAATCTGGTGATCAGACTGAATATAGGGAAAAAAAAAAATTGGGAAAGAGCAAGAGAATAGCATACACTTCTTAGTGTTTACACAATTCTATTGTCTTTTAAAATGAATTTGTTCCCAAGCATAACGCCCAAAGCCTTAGATGGCTGCACACGACTTCCAGCTTAGACTCAGTTCAGTGTGCTTCAGCCTGCAAAGTTCATGAGAACCTTTGTAGGTTGCATGGGCGCAGTGACCGCTTTTTGACTTGTTCTTGTGCATCATCTGGAGCACAAAGGTTTGATGCACGAGGAGAGCTGACCGGGGATGACTGCCCCTTGAATTTCAGTAACAAATTATTCTATTACGGGGTCACAGTAAAAAGGCACTGAACAC